AGATCAYGAGCTATAGGATGGTYTAAAAYGACGCAGAACTAGATAATAATGAAAGATAATAATGAAAGATAATAATGAAAGATCAGAGTTGTTACGATAACTTCCGCCCTTGTATAGGCATTCTCGGAATAGTAAAGTCTATAAAAGGCCACTGACTAGCGCATGAATTATTATATTTGGATTGTTGGAAGATATGATATATAAGTGAGACTGAGAAAATTGACTGTCTGATTTGAACATTCTTCTTGACTCTTCTTAATGAATTAGAATGAAAATAATAAATCATCCCCAAGGTGATTCGCGGTCATCCAGTATTCGAACTCTGGAGAATATTGCTTCCGCAATCTATCTGGCGACTAGAACTCCTGGGGTTCCCTCTAGGTTCTTTTCCGGTAACCAAGAGTCTACCTTCTAAGCGTCATTTTAACGATTTTGCCATGTGGCTCGCAGTCAAAATCCAGTAAGAACCTCTTCTGCCTATTTTCAAAATAGACTTGGGTCGTTTTGTTTCCATCTTGGAAATTGACCGCATAACCGTACTTGAGGGCTTTTGAGTAGTATGGAGGCTCTCCTACACTGATTATATGACAAGGCTGGAGATTGAGGATCTGCTTCGTGCCGTAGAATGAAAACTGTGAGGTAGGCTGAGCAGTATTCTTGAAGGACAGCAATTGAAGTAATTGTCTGTCGTTCAGCAGAAACGGATCCTCTGGACTTTCGATTTCTGAAACATTCAGTGTAATACCCCAACGAAATTTGATCTCTCTCGTGCGTGGGTTATATTTATATGGACGGTGTAGGCACTCCAAGAACAATTTCCAGCGATAGTTGGGGTCCGCAATTCGATCACCACAGTGAATTGTCATATAGATCTTTTTCTCCCCAACTTTGTCGAGCATCAGACCGAAAAGCAACGGATCGCCGTGAAGCCGTGTTATTTCCTGAATCCATTGATCGCTCTTGAAGATTGAATTCCACAATTTGCGGTGTTTGTCATCTTCTGACGAAGCAAGAGCCGGTATCCGTTGTCGAAAAGCGAAAATATTGTGCCAAATTTCTCGAGGAATGCTCCCAAGCATCATGAGCCCCAGATTTGTAGTATGTGGAATATCTTATGAACAAATATATTTCAAAACTGAGAGTTTTTTTGTAGAATGACATTATTATATACCTATCCGCCCACGACGAAATCCATGGTTGACTGCTTTCCTCTTGGCCATCATGCTTTTCATATCGTAAAAATCTGAATCTGGATTCTTCTCAATCTCTCACTCAGTTCTTAGATCATATTTGACGTGACTGGGCCAACGTATCGGGCATGAGCTCGACTTTTAGTGTGGGTGGTACTCGTATCTGTACATTGTCGATGGTGATTTGTATCCAACTCGTGCCGGCACTACGGTAATTCGTACCGACAGTCCAAATTTTCCGTTTGTTCTTCGTGTGCGCTTTCTTTCAACAACGTGTCTATTTCTGATATTAACATCGTTTGATGTTGTACTATTCCTTTATCTTGTTAATCCTTTTTACTGCCGGAACAATCTGTCTGGCTGGGTAATGATATTGTTTGGTGCCTTGAATCCATTTGATGTTGATAAGAATCTCGTTCTGTAAAAGGTTCGAGAAGTCCCGGAGAGAAGTAGCAACCGCTCGTGCTAGTAGAGATTCCGACCAAGGTCCCAATTTACTCACAGTCTGCGATCGCATCGTGTAGTAGTTCGTAAGAGTCGATAGTAATTCTAAAGCGCAGGACAACGGAATGGATAGATGACCTTTTCAGAGCCCGTGGGTCACAGCAAGCTTTTGTCCGCTTGAATCCTACCAGGCATGAAGAGCTTCTAGCCGAGCTGAAACAGACAGCAAATCGCAGTAAAATGCATAGTTCAGTAAAACTAATAGTTTAAAGATGTATAATCCTCAAGTTTAGTACAAGCTATATGATTTACAGTCTAGAATATTACTGTTCATATCTCTTTGTATTTGGTTGACTTTCCGGAATGGTCGATTCGTATTCATGTTCTCTTGAACCTGATTCTCTCTGAGTTCAATTGTAACGTGTGTCCGAACGGGTTAGTTTTGAAAATGAGTCAGGGTCAGTAAATCTAACCTGATATCATTTCAACTAGTTTCGATCTAAGTTGGTGACAGTCCGATGGTGTCGATTATGCCGAGTCTATTACACTTAAGACCATATCTTGACAGCAGATGCTTTTGTTGTTTGTTTTCCTTCTATTTCTTCCTTGGCGATTTCTCTTCCTTACTGGTACCTAATGCTCCGTTCGCTCATTTCGTCTTGTGTCGTGAAGAGGATAACATGAGCCACTGCTATTGAAGGTCTTCACCTCAAATATATAAGCCGCCTGAACCCCCGTATTTACCCTTCATTAACTTCCAGTTCATGGTGCGCATATCTGACTCAAGATGACTTTACATTGCGGGCCATCGTTTGCTGTGTACAAGGCGACTACTCTTCCATCCACACTTCCATCTACCCTTGCTCGGGACTTCAACAACGCTAACAACAATAACAACAATGAGGCTATTCACGAAAGGAAGTCAATCCAGTCGCTGATCGACAGCTCCAAAAAGCCCCCGTACCCGCGAATTGACACTGTCCTCACCAACTTCTTCCCCGAAGAGTACGGTGAGGGCTTCTACGGAATGGAGGTAGGCGACGTCCCGGGCCGACCGAGTTTTCTCCAAAAAATGGACCTCGACGCGGTGGACGAAAAATCCAGTCCTGTACTACGAACCAATCATCCAAACCTCCTGAATCTTCTCGATATTTCCGTCTGTGGAGATAAGTTATTTTTTCATTATGAAAGACCAGGGATATCTTTGGAGAAACTTCAGAAATCCACAATGTTGGATCGAGTCGCTGTGGCGACCATCTGCAAAAAAGTACTTCAAACTCAATTCACCTCTGAATACGACTAATGCTGCATAGTTGTTACATGGACTGATCTATATCCACGAAGGTCTGAATGTCAGTCATGGTCACTTGCATTGTGGTGGAATCTATCTCAGTGACGAAGGTGAAATCAAGATTGGTAAATGATTAGAAAGCGTCAAGATGAGGACTACTTGACTGACAGCTCGGTAGGCGATGTAGGAAAGAGCATGACTGAGAAAGGAAAGGCGAAAGATATTTCTGGCGATGTGCAAGCGGTTTTCCGGATGGCCAGTCAGTTGCTGAGTCTCGACAGGAGCACAGATACGACCAGCATGTCATGGATCATAGCAAAGAACTTTGTCACCCTGCCGAGTACGGTTGATCCCCGAACACTTCTCAAGGTAAGAATGTTTTTCGAGATGTGTAGACCTATAGAACTGATGGCTGCATAGCACCCGTTCCTGAAACTTGGCCAGGGTTCCTGGTATCTGTCATCTATCGGTGGCTTGCTCTCATTCGTGCGAACAACAGGCCTCAATGACTGCTTGAATCCCGGTTCATCGGACAGCGACGAGAAGACTAGCGGTAGGGAAATAGAGACTATCAGATAAAGAGCGTCTTCCTSGAGCCGTTAACTCGAGGATACGGTGAACTGCACGTCGATTATGCTTAACTGCGTGGATTGGAGAGCATTTTCTCTTTTTGTGAGGTTCATTGATGCAATGCTTCTGTTGGTAGTTACACTCCGGTCCGTCATGGTTTCCCGGACTGGGCATAGGGTCTCGGCATCCTAGGATGCTGAAATGCTGGACTGCTGGATCATCAGGGTTGAATTTTGAGATATTGCGCTTCTTTTCTATAGGAATGTACAGTGTGTCGCTCATTTCAATCCCTTGTTGAATGGTCTTCTGATATTTCAATATTGCTGCTTAATATACAGTTAAAATCTCAAATGATTGGGCCACTGAGAAATCGACAAGTTTCATGAGGTTTTTCTGACCGTCATACTTTTTTTTGTGGACTATCAAACTTGCCAATTGCCTCCAGGCGAATCCGAAAGCGTTGTGGAAAGCATATCAGTATGCCTTGGCAGTCTAGGTACACACAAGAGCTCGGGATCTCCTAGAAGTAGGGGCGCAAGAAGATAATTTAAACGAATCAGACTACGAAACAGACTCGGAATGGGATGGAAAGAGCTGTGCTGACAGTGAGGTTCCGGACTCGAGTTTGTTTTAGATGAAAATGAGTGCTCGGACGAGAACGGCCGTTTTGGAAGCCCAAATTATATGAACTTAGATGAGGAAGACATCTCAGGCAGCCCAAGTTATGTGGACTCAGACAACGAAGATCGCCCGGGCAGTCTAAATTATGCAGAGTCGGATGAGGAGACCGAAGAGTCTCCAACATAAGATTCTGATTCGGAGTGAGCTGTTTCAAGCATGTTTAATGCTATGTGCTCGCCAGTGTTCAGCAGGTTCTTTCGTATTCAGGTGTGACGACTTCCTGGGGTTGTTCTGGCGGATATATCCCTAGTCTGGATCAGTGAGCAGTATAATAATCCTTTGTTTTTAAATATCTCTCTGTTATATGGTCAGAGATATGTCTATAGGTGGCTCTGGAGAAACTTCTTTTCTTTTCTTTCGTCTGCTCTAGTTTGCGAAGATCACGACCTTCCTAGATCGTTATGTGCCCGGGTAGTTCAAATTTTCGGGATCCTCGAAACACGTAAGGGACGACTTGTTAGTCTCCCTCCGAGTGTTTTTGGTGAATGTCCAAATGGGATAGTCAATCATCGCAATCTCATTGATGTCAAATACATGCTATTCCAAGTCAACTTTGAGAGATCTACTTTCTTGTGTTCAATGATTGCGTATATTCCATGACTAAGGCTTGTGGTTTTGATCCTCAATAATACTGGAATGAAGTCGTACAAGTCGAAGAACAAGCGAATCAAGGTCTTTTCAGAAGTCCCAATGTCTCCACAGACTTACACTTAATCTTGTAAACGCTCCAGGCCTAAGGCTACTTAAAGCGGAAAAGGTCCCTGTTGATTGCATCTGCACGGACCACCGAGCGTCAGATCATGTGATATTTCCACATGATTTATGAGCCCGAAATAAGATGAAGTATATAGGGCTATGTTCCTCCTGGCGTTAATTACTGTTGCTACAGGACATGCCTTGAAGTTAGTATTCTAATCACAGATTGCTACCTCCTCTAATTTTCGGGAACAGTTACAGAACATCACCTACCAACACCGAACGGGTACGCAAATTGACAAGATTGTTGAAAACGCCATCAAATGGGATTTCTTACCGCACAAGACAGTGCATACAGCACCAAACGGGATTTCTTACCGCTCAAGACGGCACATACAGCACCAAACGGGATTTCTTACCGCTCAAGACAGTGCATCCATTACCGATGGTCCTTCTCTGTTTAAGCAAGTATATGATGGCCTTGCCCCAGGCGGATGGTTCGAGCTTCAAGATTTTGCATTTCCCGTCCGGTCCGACGACGGTACCATGAATGGGACGTCCTTTGAAGAACTAAACGAAAATCTAGTAAAAGCTCTCAGCATCTTAGGCAAAGACCCCGCGCTGGCCGAAAAGTACAAAGCGCTTATGGTCAGTGTCGGGTTTAAGAATGTCGTCGAAATCAAGTATAAGTGGCCACAGAATCAGTGGCCAAAGGACAAGTTTTTCAAACAACTGGGGTTGTGGAATATGGTCAACACTTTGGACGGGCTGTATGGGTTCTCGGCAAGGCTGTGCACACAGGTCTTGGGTATGTCGGTGGAGGAACTGGAGCTGCTGTTGATGGCTTGCCGGAATGATATCAAGAACACCAAGATGCATGCTTACTGGCCGGTGTAAGTCGTTTTCCTCTTGTTAACCTTTTTCTCCTCCTAGAGAGGGTAGAGACCAGCGAGTCACTGATGATGTAGATATGTGGTTTACGGCCAAAAGCCGCTGGAAAGTTGATGCAGCTGCCGAGATTTGCATATGAAACGAACAATTCCTCAATACCATTGTTTAGCGGACAATTATTTCAAATACATGTCCGGCCAATATGAGCCCATTAAATATCCTTCTAGCGCATTATCAGCATCTTCCAAAGATCATACGCCGGTTCTAATGCGAGTATAATGAAGTTGACCAGGCACTTTCATCCGAGACTTGACGGATCCAAACGGCTTGAGAAATATCTTCGATACATTTTCTCAAAAGTACGCCACAATCAATCCCGAAAAGGAAGCCATCTGGCGGGTCATGACTCGTGAGATCTTGGATAGTTTCTCTACACAGCAGACGTCAGCACAGAATCTTCACAAGGATATCATGTTCAGTGTGAGCAAAATGCTTCGTTCTATTATCGATCCATCAAAGACACAGGCATTTGAAGCGAATTTAACCGAAATAGTCGCAAACGCAACCCTCCTATAGTCTGCTGCACAAAAAGATACATACAGGATCTGGGTGTTAGTCAACCCACCTAATAATGCTGAAGACGGCGGTCAATGGGAAACAGGATCCTTGAAAGGAATTGAATCGGTTCAGATCCAAGAGGAGATCTCTATCGAACACGCCCATTCGCTTTGTCTATTTCCCCTCGTCATAGTGACGGGTTGTTCCAGAGATGAAATTGTCGGTCCGGGACAAACTCTGTTTTCTGATTGTGTGGCATTTGCCCTTGGAAATCACGAACAGCAGGAATCCGCTAGATTACTTGCACAGAAACAGAGAGAATTGCGCTATAAGCACCGCAAGAACAGTGTGAACTCTCATTAAACTACTTCCATACAGAGTCGTTCCCAGGATTTGGGCGGTGGTCGTGAACAATGATATCGACCATATGACAATGCCAGACACTCGAACATTCAAATTGTATCCAGGCCACGAGGCTATCGACATCAATTAATTCCCGTGGTTACTAGAGGCTTTTTATTGCAATGAGTATACACAAAACGCATTGCCCTTTTTATTTCCTTTATCTTCCTTGGCGCTTTTAACTTAGGACAATCATCGTGGGTAGACCCTGAACAGTGAACGCTCTTGGCCTCACGTTAGGCAACCACATGTGAGCCCGCACCCAAACAAGTTCAACAGGTGATGAAAGTGCCTGGTCAAATTTCGTTCAACCCAAAATCGCCTTACAAAAGAATGTCTCTTTTTTTTCAACGCTGTTCATATTGCTGTGCTATTAAAAATGAACATCCCATAAAAAGTAGGGTTCAGCATTTTTGGCTTTTCCGTGCTCCGTCTAAGTTGTTGCTCCTTTTCATCATTCATCATCACCACGCGAGCAATTTTTGCTCCCGGGCAAATTTAGGCCTCTTGTTTTGAAGGGCCGCGGAGATTTCAGGGCTTGTGACAGAAGGTCGCCCCCGTTCCAGGAGGTTTTCAGGAACAGCCAATGAGACAACTAACAGGCATTAGGCAGCAACGAATACCCTCATATTTTGATCTGCAATGATCAGTGGGATGAACGTCCCTAATTATTTGCACGTAGTTGACTCACTTCATTTATTTAAATATCCTACACCCAAGCCAATATCAGATTAAGCCTCGGCCCGAGTTAATAATATTCCAACCGTTTCATGCAACCGTAACTTGCCGTAACTTACTGAAATATAGAGAATAATGGAGTCTCTATACAGACAGATTCGAAACCTCCTTCATGTGTCACGGACCTGGATCCACCTTAGTTAAACAATGGTGCGTCGAGATACGTTAGGCTTGGTTGAACCTCGCACAGATTCCTTGAGTTATAGTCGGTAAAGTGGTTTGAGTAATGAAGTAACAATAGTCGAACTGGTTATCGGTAGTCGTCAACGTAACAAAGATACCGGTAGAAGAGATCCCCGTACAGCCTGGTGCCCGTACGAGTTAGAATGCCTTGCTGACTCTCACTATCAAAGTCTGATAACAAGTCATCAAGTGACTTAACTTAGATTAAAGAGCTATGAGTAATAGAGGTGGCAGTGCCAAAAAATCACGTGGCTAGGCTATATTGATTACGGTAGTGTTGGATGCAAACATGTCAAAACAAGAGGGTCGCGTACATCATGTGAAAGACACTGATCCGCACTAACCCCATTCAAAAATCGACCACGCACAACTGAGATCCGTGCATAACGGCAATACATGTAATTTACAGGCGTATCAAATCTGTGAATGCGCAATACCCTAGGTTGAAAGTTACACCAACCAGGGAGGCCAAGCTATAATATCATAATATCAAGGTGCCAGTGTCGACGAAAAACTAGGCATGGAGATCGGAAGAAGACCAGGATAAACTGGGGGTTGAGGTCATAAAAATATACACCACACACATGGGCCCTACCAGTACACCGGTCATCTTACTTCCATGATAGATACTAGATACAGGGATCAAAAAATACAGCTCAGAGAGTATTGACATGCCCGCAGCAAGCTTCGGGAATAAGGCTTTGAGGCGAGCTTTGACCTGGAGCAAAACTGGAGCCGTCACATCCTCTTCAGCCTGAGGACTGCGGTGCCTAAGCCTCGTATTCCACTTAGCGCTTAAAGACAGTATTGAGTCTACATCTTTCCTCTGCCAATGAGTGCTCCTTGATGCATTGCCTCTGCCTCATATTTTTCCCTGCCTTTCAAGCAATGATCTGAGATTACCAACACTGGTCAGTGTGTCAGGATGTTCAGCGCCTAGCGTTTTCTCATATCCAGCGAGTGCTCGTTGATGCATGGCCTCTGCCTCCTCATATTTTCCCTGCATTTGAAGCACTAAGCCTACAAGACTGACACTGATCAGTGTGTCAGGATGTTCAGCACCTAGTGCTTTCTCTCTGCCAGCAAGTGCTCGTTGATGCATAGCCTCTGCCTCCACATACTTTCCCTGCCTTTCAAGCACTACACCTAGGTTGTTGACACTGGTTAGTGTGTCAGGATGTTCAGCGCCTAGCACTTTCTCACTACTAGTAAGATCTCGTTGATGCATAGCCTCTGCCTCCTCATATTTTTCCTGCATGTGAAGCACTATACCTAGATTGTTGACACTGGTCAGTGTGTGAGGATGTTCAGCGCCTAACAGTCTCTCATATCCAGCGAGTGCTTGTCGACATAAAGCCTCTGCCTCCTCATATTTTCTCTGCATTTGAAGCATATAGCCTAGAAGACTGACACTGATCAGTGTGTCAGGATGTTCAGCGCCTAGTACTTTCTTTCTACCAGCAAGTGCTCGTCTATGCATAGACTCTGCCTCCATATACTTTCCCTGCCTTTCAAGCACTACGCCTAGGTTGTTGACACTGGTCAGTGTGCCAGGATGTTCAGCGCCTAACACTTTCTCACTACCAGTAAGATCTCGTCGATACATGACCTCTGCCTCCTCATATTTTTCCTGCATTTGAAGCACTAAGCCTACAAGACTGACACTGATCAGTGTGTCAGGATGTTCAGCGCCTAGTGCTTTCTCTCTGCCAGCAAGTGCTCGTTGATGCATAGCCTCTGCCTCCTCATATTTTCCCTGACTTTCGAGCACTGAGCCTAGATTACTGACACTAGTCAGTGTGTCAGGATGTTCACCTAACACTTTCTCTCTAGCAGCGAGTGCTCGTCGATGCATAGCCTCTGCCTCCTCATATTTTTTCTGACTTTCAAGCACTGAGCCTAGATTACTAACACTGACCAGTGTGTGAGGATGCTCTGCGCCTAGCGCTTTCTCATATCCAGCGAGTGCTTGTCGATGCATGGCCTCTGCCTTCTTATATTTCCCTTGTCTTTGAAGAACTGAGCCTAGATGAATGACACTGGTCAGTGTGTCAGGATGTTCAGCGCCTAACAATTTCTCACTACCAGCAAGATCTCGTCTATGCATGGCCTCTGCCTCTTCATATTTCCCCTGCATCTGAAGCGCTAAGCCTAGAAGACTAACACTGGTCAGTGTGTCAGGATGTTCACCTAACACTTTCTCTCTAGCAGCGAGTGCTCGTCGATGCATAGTCTCTGCCTCCTCATATTTCCCCTGTCTTTGAAGGACTGAACCTAGATTACTGACACTAGTAAGTCTGTCAGTATGTTCAACGCCTAACACTTTCTCTCTTCCAGCGAGTGCTTGTCGATGCATGGCCTCTGCCTCCTTATATTTTCCCTGACTTTCAAGCACTATGCCTAGATGGTTGACACTGGTCAGTGTGTCAGGATGCTCTGCGCCTAGCGCCTTCTCATATCCACCGAGTGCTTGTTGATGCATGGCCTCTGCCTCCTCATATTTTCCCATCTGGTAAAGATACCAACCACATCGATTGGTAATACTCGACACATTTAAATGGTCCTCATTTAACCCCTTGGTGAAACGAAGTGTCTCTTTCAGGTGTGGAAGGAGCATTTGGCAAGATTTGAATGTTTCATAATCTCCACTGGGAAATACTCCTTCCATAATGTGTATGCTTTTCTTGGCCAATTGATGAAGCTGTCCTTGATTTTTCAGCCACTGTCGAGCTGATAATTGCACCAGACGGTGCAAGCCAAATGACTGTCCGCCAAATTCAACGTAGACGAGAGAAAAGCTGATTAATGGAGCCATCGCATCCTCAAATTGTAATTGATCCATCCCATCGCTGAGTAACTCTACCGGAATTCCTTGTCGGTCAAACATACTCATTAATCCCAGCAGATCTGTGGCTTCGGGACACAGGTGGCGGATCTGATCAAACGAGATCTGCCACGTAGTGATGACTGGATAGCGGACGCTTCGATCTCGTCGAAGATCATGAGCATCATTATAATTTAAAAGATGCTCTTGATTTGATTCACTTTGTTGGAAAAGCTGCAGGTAAGTCGTAACGGTTATTCGAGGTGAGCGATTTGAAATATATGCACCAGCTTGTGCAATTGCCATAGGAATGCGTTCGAGTGCCTCCACAAGGAGTTTCGCTTCAGTTTCACATGATTGATCTACCGTAATACGGGTTTTCAATAGGGTAATGGCATCATTAGTGCCCATTGGCTCTACTGGTATCACCTGACCGCGATGCCCCACGATGTTCCGTGCCGCTGTCCGATTCCGGGATGTAACCAAAATCGAACCATGGGAAAAATGAGGCAGGTAATCCACTAAAGGCATATTTTCACCACATTTGTTGAACATTGTATCAACATTGTCTGCATTGTCCAGGATAATCAACCAGCTGCCGTTCATCTCGTCACATAGCCATTTCTTAACCAGCTCGAGGATGTCACATTTTGGATCATCGCGTCCAGGAATCTTTGCTACGGCTGCAATATCTCGATACCCTTGCTCAAATCTTGTTGCATTACTCGCGTGAACCCAAAATGTCCATATGTTAGGCGCGGATTCCCGAACTCGATAGGTATACTCGATCGCTATCTGAGACTTTCTGGAACATAGTCAGTATGTTACGTGTCAACTTCTTCCGCTTTACTCACCCGACGCCTCCCAAGCCAACGAGTGCGGCACGCCTCGAAGCATGCCCGCTTCGTCCTTGAACGGCGTCAATAATACTCTTGATAATGTCTTCTCGGCCCACAAACATCTCATCTCTCACAAAGGGAACCGTTGAAGGCTTGGGGTGACTTAAGGTTTCTGCTAAGAATGAGGCTCTAATCAGAATTCGCAAACAGAGACACGGTCGCTCTGCGGCGGCTAGAGATGAACTTACGACGCTCATGCTGAACACCGCCTTCCCAGTATACTAAGAAAGCCTTCGCGCACGATGTTGCAGTGGCTGCAGCATACTTTTGCCATGCCTTATTCTTATGACTGTCTGCGTAATCGCAAACCCCTTTGATGATTACACAAGGCAGGATATCCCACACTCCAGCACCTTCCATCTCAAATGCAATCACACCCTCCTTGTCCGCTAGTTGATCTCGACGCTGACCGGATTTCATGACAGAGCTCGCCGACGCAATCGTGCCGAAGTGAATAAGTGGCGATGGCCGATCCGCACGCAGTCGGTATCGCTGGACTAAATGTCCTACGCATCCGACCTCTGTGCAGTCGCTCTTCAATGCTTGCTCACATACTGGATCGAAGGCCGAATGACAGCTACCACAGATGCACTCTATTGTAGATTGTGGTTGGTAGTGCTTGTGGCGATAAGAGGCATCGTATAACATATCGTATGAGGCACCGGGATAATTCCATTCATTGTCATCCATTCCTTGTAGGATTTGCAGGTATCGCGCGGTATGCCGTTGTACTTGATTTCTCATCCGGCGAGTTCGTAAACGGTTTAGGAAGGACTGGATTTCTTGATTAGGTGATCCGAGCGTCTCTTTGACACCACTTTTCCGCTCGAACCCATGCGGGTACTGTCTGCCAAAATCATATTCAATCACACTATCACCAATAATGATATCCCCTAAGATGATCTCCGTCCGATCTGATGCGTATGGTACTCCGCCGCAGATCCCGACCAGTAAGGTAAGTTTGATTCCCGGGAAGCTGATGAGCAAGCCACGGGCAACACTGGCGGACCTTCGATTCCCCATCCCGGGCATATAGGCCAGCACGACATCGTGATTGTGTATTCTTCCTGTGATGTAGCTGTTGGCATCGCCTATGTGCTTGCCATATAAATGGCCCAGATCATCATAGTGATCATCGAATAACGCCTCCACCGCGTCCGCCTCTAGTGGAAGGGCACAGATTATCGCAATACGGAATTCATCACGAGATCGTGGAGGCATCTTAGGACGACTCTTGCTTTTTGTGACTAAAAGATATTCATAGAGGATCAGTGATATGGGTGGACTTCAATTTCGCTCTGTCAGAGTGGGCTTCCACGACTCTCGGCAGGTCATCCATGTCAAGCGGGGCATCAGATTGAGAGCACGGTGTTGACCGATTTTTACACTAGAGCACTTACGGCAGTACGGTGGAGAAGCGATAAAAGAAGGGATATTATTCGATATTGTTAAGTACATTTGGCACACCCTCCAGGACATCCTTGTAAGGGGGTTTTGGGTGCGATTTATACATAAAAGAATGTGTGTAAAATGAGTGACGATGTTTGACAGAATATTCTAGATATCTGCCTTCTTGCTAGTTTGCAAAGCTTCAAATTAAGTCGATTCTTGAGCATTCTTTTGATAATTTTGTGTAATGCCCTGAAACGACCGAAGGGAGTGGAAGGGAGTAGGACCGTGCGTGCGAGACCCCCACACAAAAACGCTGACGGAAGCTAACACTAGAAAATGAACAACCCTTTTGGGCCTAGAAGGGTCTTGGCGTTAGGGCTCTAGGGTTTAACATACTTTAGCTGTAGTATTATTGGCTCAGGACGCTGTATTTCCTTTGTGATATCAGACCGAAAGGAGTGGCAAAAATGCCGACATGCCGACAGAAGTGACACTAGAAACTTGACTCCCCTTTTGGGCCTAGAGCCTCTTGGCTGCATGGGTTATGGCTGGGCATGCTTTTGATTGGCTTCAAACAGTCGTTATTTTGTGATGCACTTATTCTATTTTCCATAACTGACTCAAAGAATCGACCTCTTTTCTATCCGTTTCAGGGCCACGGCGTGCGCAGCGCGCGCCTAGGATAGATTCCGAATATCCGTAGGCGCCAAATTAGGCTTAGAGCACCTTGGCGTTCAACACACGGTTGGTGTCACGTGAATCACGTGAATGGCCCGAGCCGCCCATCGCTTTTATGGTTTAGTTGATCGACAGAAAAACGTGGTCTGAAACGGACCTACTCCTAATACGGTATAGTGTATTACGTTCATCACACCACCGTATTCCACCGTGTTCCAGCCAGTGCACGATTTCGCTCACCCGAGTTACAGTCGAGAAAGTATTGGAGCATCATGTTTCTTAGGATTCGAAGTTGCTTGTCAAGTTCACCCGTGGGGGAAGGCACGAGGTGATTGTAGGAGAATGGGTGTAGAAGAATGATAAAGTAAAGAGGGGGGAGCTGCGAAAAGCTTGACCACCAAACGACTTCATTAGGGCTAGTCACCGGTTGTAGATTCCGTGCTTTCATCGCCGGACAATCGAAACTTTCTATGAAGTCGAATATAAGGCTATGAATCCTTGAATGTGTTGGTCATTCGTTGTACGAACTGCAAGGGACGAGCGGATGATCAGCTAGTAATCCAGCTCGCTGCCTATTGAGAAATTGCAAATTCTGGTAATTTCCAGGCAAGGGATATTTAGATGACCTGACTTTTGAATAGTCCTATATTCCCTAGCCTCGTTAATCTACACTGTCCATCACCTATTAACCTCAACTTCATCACACAGCCTGGTCCAGATTCATACTATGTCTGATTCCGATACTGACGTTGCTTTACCCCGACGCACACAGCACTTTGTCTTGAAGACCACGATGGCCAGCCTACCAGCCCATGCCTATCCCCGCCACTCGCTAACGAGACCTTTATTATACGACACCCCCAAACCAACCTTGACCCTCAAAAGCGGCAAACCATGCCTCCACACCCCCTCGACATCACCAACACACATTGTCACTGGCGGGTAATCGAAACGGCGAGCGGCTGGCTTGGATCCCGGAACATCCACACAGACATATACATAAGGTATAGCGGTGGCTTCTGGAATACTTGGAACTGGAAGTTCGTCGCGGATGTGAAGCACCATAGTCTGTTCGAATATTTCTCAACGAGGCCTAGCTCGGATGGACGACATGAGCTGCTTTTTAAGCAATGGTTTGGGTTTCAGGGTATGAGAGTTGGGGGGGAGGGGGGAGAGAGCTCGTGGTTGCTGAGTACGGGGGAAAAGGAGTTGCGTGGGAGTTTATTAAAGTTGGCTAGGTGGGCCTTACAGCAGATAGTTCTGATAGGATCATGCTCACAACTCTATCCTGGCCGTTGAATGAATTATAGGATGATCTATATTGAGTTCCCAATATGATAGATAATTGAGATGTAGATCTATTGCATGCGCTCCATCCCAATGTTTTATGAGCACAAACGCGTAGGCCTATGGGGCGTTGAAACCCACAGCTACCGATCTGAGTGCGCAGCAAACATAAGCGGGTTGACCTGTGGTTGGCGCAAACCTATATTTAAACAAAATCTAGGTGACAAGAATTATGGTGGGAAACCTGAGAATAAAAACCTAGGTCGACAGACAGGGATGACAAAGGCGGACGACGAGCTCCCACCTCTACGTGGTGTCCGCTGGGAACTCTCAGAGAAACAATTTTGTTGTCTCTGAGTGCCAGGAGGAGCTCAACAACGCGATTTTTCCCCTTTTCACGACGCGCCGACGCGCCGAAAACCGAGTCTCCGAACCTCACGAAACACCAAACATCACAGAACCAGTACAGAGAGGAAGTCGTGCCCTCTCACACGTACGCCCCCGCGACGGAGAACGGAACTTGTCACTCCGTTTGTCCTGCCCGACAACCGTTTACGGCTTKGACACTCACSATGACTATTATCAGTCACGCGCCCAATATCATCGTCTCTGTTCCAATGCGCAAGACGGTTGGTCGCAAGGCTGCGTGCTCTGGTACTGTCTGGTGTGAGGGGAACGAAACTTACCCAATACAACCAATAGGATTCTCAACTTCCTTAGGACTGCGGTCAATCTCCTGCCACAGCCAATTACGGTCTGGTATGCACCACTCACCAATTACAGCGCAATAATCCGCCCTATCACATTGCTGCTTTAACCGAATCGCTTGTGATTAGGTATTCCGATGAAATACGGCTGAGGATTTCTCTTTACGGCGGCAAGATAGTATATCTAATTGGCTGCCATGTGTATTTGTACAACCCATCACAGAGGCAGAAATTTATCTTCGATGTGGGTGGGGATCCGGGTAATTATTAACACATCATAAAACAGGCCGTTTACAGCAACCTCATCCGAGAACTGTGGGGAAGAGTGCACAATAACCAAAATTATTCCTAGTTGGTCTAAACGCGGGCGGATAATGGATTGCGGACTGTTATTTTTCCGGTGGGACATTGTTTGTCCATACGCAGCCGCATATTAAAATTTGTCAGAGAAGGCAGGGCATGCATCTTGGTTTGCCTCATTCTGTTGGTGAGGAGGGGTAATGCTGTACATACAGAAACATTGACAGGGGGACCGCACTACGTGTCGTGGTCGAGAACCAGTCTCGTTATACAGTGAAACATAAGTAGCACAAAGATCATGCTCCGCGGACAAGGCTGAATTTTTGTAGTGTCCAGTAGTCTCTCAATCCTTCTTCGCCCTAGGTCACCTAGCCTTCCATGGCTTGTATGCTTGTTTACGACGATTCGGAGGTTGCATCGGTTATCAGCAACCTGCAATAACACAAATATCGAGGAGTAATAAAAGAAACGCGTGATGGCTTTCATTAAGCTAGCATTATCCCTGCTTGATAATGACTCATACCCATGATTTGTGCCTCCCCAAACAATGAGCTCAAGGCGCAGAAAAGAAAAATAAAGACCTGGCAATAGTTACCGTACTGTTCTGTATGCAAGTAGCCTCATCTACGTTGAAAAAAGGGCACTTGAGTTATACCAATCTGATGTATTTGAGGCTGCTTGCAGAGCGGCTGCATATAGCCTTTGAGTTCGACCTGGACGTTGTGTAACCGCAATCTCTCTTCCCGATTGGCAGAAGCAAGCTGATTCTGAGAGGCAGGAAAGTACTCCAGCCTTTATCATGGATAAGACGTAAGTCTCTACACCAACCAGGGACAGCTTCTTGCCGCTTACAGCTCCAACTTTAGCCATAATACCTCGTCGGCGCTCATCTTTTGGATAACACACGCCATAATGAATCCATAACAGATAATGTATTCATATTATCAAATCTTGTTGCCCATTCTTGCTCAACGTGGTACATGCTTACGACCCGACGAGAGTCACCGATGGAAACTCCAGCCGAAAATTAGTTCCAGACGGCTTGTATTTTGTGTAGCAGACGAAGCGGTTGTGACCATAGACAAGAACTTTGCCTTCATAAGCAAGAAAGGCCCGACCTGAATACAAACATGCCCACCATAGCTATAATTTTGGGAGGAAGCCTAGTGTTTTCATTCGTTGAGGTTTATCATCGTCTTTAGCTTTCTATTGAATTTTCTTTTTAGTCAAACCTCGCCTGGAAAGAGCTTGCTGAATGCTGGAATGCAATGGAACAATTCTGAATTCTTTCCACAAAAAGGTCTCCATCTCGTCAATATGCAAACCGACGTTACCGAATTTCTGCAACTTCCTGTGGATATCTGAGACGGAACGCCGAGAACGCTTTGCTGCATAGGTAATTTGCTGCCAAGAAAATCTCTCACTACGAATCATATGGATGATCATTGCTTGTTTGATATGAGTCACGGTGACCAATGAGAACACGTTTGGGGTTAAAGTTTACGAGACTAGCCCACATGATCGGAAGATATCATCAGCTCGTTATTCCCGGAATGACTGCATTGAGTGTATCAGGACGTTCAAACTTGCAAGAATTCACGACGGGATTTTACATACTTATCTTCCGATACCTTTCATGCCACTTCTTTGGTTGTACCAAACGTGATACACAACTCCCATAAGCTGCAGAATTATGGACCACGACGACCAATTCTTTACGAAAATTATGAGAGAGATCAATCAAACAAATCGTCAAAACCCTTGGTAGCATTCCAGTCTATCCTGGCTCCATGCTGGCTGGTAAACGGCTGACAGACCATAGTCCCCAGTGCCAATCTCAACCTACGGGCAGGTGTTTCAAGAAAGGTCACTTTGACTGGTGCCTCAACCACCACTGCCCGGCCATCACAAATAGCGAGTTCTGTACCCAGTCGGAGGCAAAGACCGACTCTTATGCTGTTGCAATGTGTTCGTATCCGGATCATATCAATTAGTCAATTATGAATATATTTGTGTTACAAACAAGCTGCCTACAACCGCGTTGTACTTGTCGATTTAAATTCCGTCGGAAGAAGAAAATATACAATTCACCTGCATAAACGGACAACAGAAGCAAACGGCTTCAGAAGTAGAAGATTACTCAGACACCTTGAGGATATGTGTTGTTGCTAAGGATCTAAGATAAGATCCATATGTGAAATAAGGCTCTATGACGCCGAACTTGTTCAGTTTAGAAACTTCTGTTCATATTCAATGTGTTTTCTGTCGAAAACCTTTTAGGGTATATATTGTGAAGTCTCCAGTTGCATCTATCTTCCAATCTAATGACATCCAGCAATATCAACGGTCGGGACACAACCATTGATTCTATAGTTGATCTATCATTACCAAACCGACGTCACGAATGTGCAATTTGCAATTGAAGAGTATCAGCGATCCCTGATAGACTTGTATAAGTCCCTCCAGAAGCAGCTGCATGAAGCGAAAAGTGAGGATTTTTGCTCCGAATTGTGAAGCAAGCTAAAAGAAAGTGGTTAGAACCAGTCGAAGCTCCGCAGGAAGGGATAGGCCAATTCTGTCATATCACGTTGAAATTTGTGGAGGATACTTTCATTACCATCCCTCTGCCATCCGACAACTGCCCCTTACGGTTTGACATTGATGGCGCCGAAGTTGTTGTGATCCTGCCGAAGGGCGCATCTGTTCGAGTCACGTCTCACAGTGATGGCCTCGTGTGGATGCTTCGCCATTGTCCAGTTCCGGTTACCACGGATGGAATGAAACAAGAAAAGGGGGGGCGCATAGACCGGGTATTTTCATGCGAGAAACCTTGCCAGATTCAGATTCGGTAGCTAAATTCGACTTCACATCAATAACATTGCGGCGTAGATTGATTGAGACAAACTACAAACTAGAATCATATTCTATACTCGGCACTGCATTACGTTTGTAAAGCTTCTGCTTGATCAGAGGATGACAGGTTGCATCGGATGGATTTCTTTGTTTCCGTTGTCATTTTCCATTCAAAATCACCGCCTAACTAGTTGGTGTGTTACTGCCAAAGTCATACCATCAGGTTAAATATTGAAGAACTGGGAGGGAATGTCTCGTTTCAATATTGCCGTCAGATCGGAATTTCATTTCGATAATTCGGATGGGTTGGGAATATCACTCTATTATCACATTATCAGTGGACCTCCCCATTCCAAATCGTTCCGTGTGCTTGCGATCGATGAGAATGGGTCGTGCACGGCCGTGAATCAACCAATCAATCAATCAATTTATGAGACATGGTTGAACCACTAAGCGCGACTAGACTGGTGGGACATTTTGAGAATGCTTCCCGCCGCAGATCCCCTTGTTTTGACACATAAAGCTAAACCAGATCCAGGTCTCCTGCTCAATCGAACCCCACTGGTACGCTATACCCCACTTGTCAACCACACTGCTTTGAAGGAATATGCCCACTCGCTCTGTTGATTGCCTCGCTTCAGAGGAATATCTTATCTTGTGAACAACTTCTCAATGGCTTCATTAAAAGCAAATGTGCTGCTACGGGCGGCTGATGTCGAACAAGAACGGGATCGTGATGCTCGTGTGGATGAACAACACAAACAGCGTCGCCTGTGGAGTCGCCAAACGTAAGCTAGAGATTTCCAGTAAGCATGGCTGTACTAATCAAGAAGCAGATATCTTGGCTCACTTATCTTTAACTTCGGCGCATTCCTCCTCCCAGCTCTGTACAGTACACTAAGCAAACTTTGGGTTGCTGATATTGATTCAAGCCAAGTCGTTACAACCGATGTATATACTTATATCGGTGTTATTGTGCAAGTGTTGAATGATGGTCTCCCAAGGTCCGCTTGGTTGACCATCGGAGATAAATCTTCACGTACCATATCCTCCCGGTTGAGCTTATCTTATACGATGATATCTGTCCAAATAATGCTGGGTGCTCTGATGACGATAATTTTTCTCGCTACTTCAGATAAGCTTGCAGCTGCATTTGTCCCAGAACAAGTTCGGCAAAGTTCGTTGACCTATGTGCGGATTTCTTCCGTTGAAGCTCTATCATCTAGCATGGAGACTGTTGTATCATGTTGCACAAGAGCATTAGATCTTCCTGACGTACCGCTGGTGATCAGCTCAACGAAATTCGTCATCAATATCATGCTCGATCTTTTGATCATATCCAGGTTTCACGTTGGGTCATTCATACCAACCGTCAATATGCAGGCCTTGATTAGGCTTGCTTGTGATCTAGCCGCCGCACTTTGCGGCCTTATTTATCTCATGTACATCACCTTCAGGTTGAGGCGGCAGATGGAAGAATCCGTGAAAGTGACCGTTGCAGCCCTGAAAACTCTTGCACAACCGAGCATTTACACTTTCACGGAGTCCGCTATTCGAAATGCCATCTATCTCTGGCTCGTCAACCGAATCATTTTGCTTGGCGAAAACTACGCAACAGCGTGGGGCGTTTTTAATACAATTCGATGGGGTCTCATTATGGTTCCAGTCCAGACTCTTGAGGCATCAACACTAACGTTTGTTGGACACAACTGGGGGAGATGGCGAGCGCGTGTAGGTGTCGAGATACGTCAGCCTAAAGCATCTAGAGCTGAAATCTTTGGTATGGACAGTGACCTATATTTGATTAAATTAGCTAATGGTTATGATTGGGAAGAAATGATTCGCCCTGCCCTCATATCATGCTGCGTGGCACTGGTTGTTGAAGTGATCATTTGCATTGCACTTTCTACCCATGGTGTGCAGACTTTCGCCTATTTCCTATCTGGTTCTGAAGTTGTTGCTCAAATCACGCAGATGATGTGGAAGGTAATCGCCACTCTAGTACCGTCATGTTACGAAACTAACTTTTTCTGTCAGGCCATCGACTGGACATATATTTTCTATGCTTTGAATTATCAACTGGCTGCCATTCTCCTTGCGACGTCCCCACGTTGGTATTTGTACCAGGCCCTCGGTTCGAACTTCCTCTGGATGTTGCCGTGGGCAATTGTCGTTACTAAGGTTTCGTTTCCGGAAGCTATCGCATGGACTTACTATGCTATTATTTTTGGTGGTGCTCTAGTCTTCGATTTCATTGATGTCAGCATAACACTACTAATCTGGGCTCTTGGATTGTCGAAGGGGAGAATCAAAGTTAACGTCATATGAATGCCGTAACATTTCTCTATCACCAGCCTGCGGAAATACGTCGTGACTGCTGCAAGATGGGCATCGACTCGCTCGTTGTGCATTATCTTTAATGTGGTCAACGTTTGACACCGCGTTCGTTAATGGATGGAATTGTCGAAAATGCACTCAGAAGACAATTTGATCCGTCTCTGATTGGGTAAAACTAGATTATTTTTGCTTACCTGCTTCTGATTCTAGACATTGTTCGACTACTACTTAAGAAGGGATCTGACGTCAATGCCCATAATGGCCGATATGGCAACGGCGACGCTCTCCAGGCTGCCGTGAAAAGAGGGATATAATGAGATTGTTCAGGATTTGGCTTATTTTGGGATAGAGTTACTCCTTAGTGAAAATTGAGGTGCCGCTAAGGCGGAATTATTATAGATTCCAATACTACTCAGCAGCGTGAAATCAAAACTGCTGTCTAACTGCGTGTAAGACCAGCGGGATGCAGAAAGAAATCCGTATTTCAAGTATGGTCAAAGATGATGAAATGACCTAAAAAATCATGGGTAGCAGAACTCGTAGATTGTGTTGAGAACAGGAAATGAAAGTCTTCGACCTGAAAGTGTAGTCCATCAAAGTGGATCTAGTTCGACAACCTTAGCCCATCTGGCCAGAAGAGCTTCTAGACTAAAAAAAATATACCGTACAGCATATTCAATATCCGAAACAAACAACTCATACTATGTAGACTCCCTGTCCGCGTGGACTGTGCTGCAAGATTTATCACTTGCTGGCAGCTACCCCAAATGACTCGTCTTCTCTGGGCACATCATTGTCTCCATTTCCTAGAATGCTCCAAATCAAGGTTTGGAGAATCATCGACGTGAACAGAATGGTCCACTCAGCTGAGCCGGACACCCCTCCTACAAGACCTTAACTTCAATCACAGGAGCATGGAGGAGAGATCTCACTCACAGTCTGCTACTAAAATCATCGACTTGTGCCGTACTGCAATGACCATGTCTACACCCTTCGCACAGCTTGCTGTTGTGCGGCCCATTGCTCCTTCCAGTAAACTGCGGTCTTTCTTGTTCGATCCCATGCCAATATTTGATCCGGTATGCTATTCTCTGTGCATACGTATCGTCCAACCGTGGGCGGCTGAGACTGTTGCAGGTCTTGCACCTCTGGTGGTAGACTCTCGCGTTGTACTTTCCACCGGTATATAAACGTATTGTGACAGCAACCTTCCCACTTGACCAGGCCTTCCCACCACATGAAGGAGTTCGACATATGAACCAGCCTGTAATATTTGTATCATACGTCTCATCGCAACTCCCGGACTGATCGGATTCGTAAAAATCGAGGTACAGATTGTCTACCTCCAGCAGCCGAATTACACGTTCGTGGAGTGAGGGATACATGGACCATTTTGCAATAGATTTCTGTCTCGTAGACGACATATTGACCTTTTCACTCAGTAGCTTGTAGCGGGTTTAGCCTTAGTCCTTCTACGAATTAGAAGAAAAAATTTGGATCGGTAATTTCTTTGATCAACCACTCTTCCCTCTATGATTCAGCAAAATAGTCATACACCTCCATGAAACAAATACCATTTCTTTTCTCAAATAAATCGCGCATTCCAGTGAGGTAAGGAATATCTGAAAAAGTTCGTGATTATGCATACTTATCATACAAAGGCTATGCGACAGCATTATGGCATTTATGCCGTGTAACCCATCGAAGATCTTCACTTCAAGGTCAAATTGACAAACCTTGCTCATAAAAGACCACGACATGAGTTAGTTACACTTTCCTTATGCTTCATACAAAATTGCGAGCCGCGATAGCCGGTGCTCTTGACCCTTGCTGTCTCCGATTGCAGGCACTTTACTATATCCCAGTCATTGCAAATACCCCAAAAAGTATGTGGCCAATTACGACGGAAGTGCTGATTGTCCTAGATAGGAGTTCGGACATGGATTTATGTTCCCGACCATCCAGCTCACTGCATATGCAGCCTTGCCCTCTCCAAGGATCCCCGCACCTCTCCTCCCGAACTTCTCATATTCAAGACATGGGATTCGCTGCCTCGCCGACCTTTTAGAATGCATAGCTGGTATTTGATCTAGTTAGCGAAAAGATCCTGTTGTACTTACCTACTTCCATCTAGCCAAGCTATCACCAAGCCTCCTCATCAAAGTGGTAGGCAACCAATCAAGAAGTAAGAATTGTTGCTGCGTAGAAGAAGTGTAACTGATAGAGAATAGATGTCTCTGTTTGCGCAGGCTCCCTTCGTACGTGGCACCACTCAGACCAGAAGACTAATGTCGTTCGCATCATGATTTGCGAACCTATTGACGCTTCACTTATTCAACAAGATGCTGCAATGGAGTCTTCAAAGAGGGAGTATTATTGAAAATGAAATGCTTGGGAAGCTTTAGTTGATGAGACTTTCGAAGGGTACAAATAGTATTATTAACGCATGGCAAGTGAACCGTGACTGAATAGATCTGACTCACTTAACCTACCATTTCGATTCATGAAATTCCATATTATCCAAAGGCTCAACATCATCAATAAAATGGCGAACAAGAAAGAGAAAAAGCAGGCGAAAGATGACAGAGTCCAACGCCGAAGAGAGAAACGTGCCAAGCGGCGCGAATCGTCGTCATCTGATGATGATTCTACACGCTCGTCTACGGTCAATGGTACGATCACCGATGTGACTCAGTGGAACACAGAGATAGACCATTCTCTGAAAGGTAGTATCAACAAGATAATCTCACTTCATGATACTTTCCAGAATCTGTCGGATGTTGTGGGGATTTTGTCTTTCATCAAGCCCAATGCTGCCAATGCTGCTGAAGTATTCAGACCGGAAATCGAGCTCAAAGCTGAAAATGAAAGACTGCAACATACATTGACTCAGATACAAAAGGCTGTGGAAGCACAGAAGCTACAGGAACTGGAAAAAAGATGCCAAGAACTGGAGGATGAACGGGTGCAGCTTGGCCAACGTCAGCAGGAGCTGGAGCAAGAACGACAAGAACTCAACGCAGACAGACGTGCCATTAGCATTGAAAGGCAAGAGATGAAGAAAGATTTGGAGATAAAGAAACAAGAATTCCAATCTGAATTTACACATCAATTAGAGAAGGAGAAAAAGGCCCATCAGAAAGCTCTTAGGTCGAGCCAAGATTCCGAAAACAAACTCAAAGGACAAAATGAAAAGCTCAAAGCCGAGAGAAATGAAGTAGAGACGCGAGCAAAAGATCTCGGAGAAGGCAATGAGACGCTGATGGCAACAAATAGAGCGCTTCGGTCGGAGCTGGACAAAGAGAAATCAAGGTTCCCGATTCAGAGTAAAGGAATCAATTACTAGTAAGTAGACCGGTGTGCAACTTCTTATAATCAATCTCACAGTAGATTTAGCCGGGAACAATTCAAAAAATTGAACCAGAAGATTGAGAAGCTTGTCTATGACTTCATCACAGGTCCCATGAATGACGAACAGATAGTAAGTCACGAATTTTATTCCATGTTCAAGCGAAGCCCAAAACTGACATACATATTGCTTTAGCGAGCGGTCGAAGCAGATGGTCTTGAAGAACAAGAGTTTTTCAAATTCGTCCCGACGAGAGACTCCGATGTAGCCCGATACCTGTGGAGACGGGGAGCGCAGGCCTGTATTACTATGCAGCTATGCGATCGTCTTTGGAAATCCTATCCTTGTGACTCCGTCCAGGACGTCGCGGATCCAAACGGCTTGAGAATTGTCTTCGATACATTTTCTCAAAAATACGCCACAGTCAATCCCGAGAAGGAAGCCATCTGGCGGATCATGACTCGTGAGATCTTGATTAGTTTCTCTACACAGCGGACCTCGGCACAGAATCTTCACAAAGATATCGTGTGCAGTATGAGCAAAATGCTTCGTTCTATTATTGATCCATCAAAAACACAGACATTTGAAGCAGATTTGACCGAAATAGTCGCAAACGCAACCCTCCTATGGTCTGCTGCACAAAAAGATACATGCAGGATCTGGGTGTCAGCCAACCCGCATAATGATGCTAAAGACGGCAGGCAATGGGAAGCAGGGTCCTTGCAAGGAATTGAATCCGTTCAGGTCCAAGAGGAGATCTCTATCGAACACGCCCATTCGCTTTGTCTATTTCCCCTGGTTGTAGTGACAGGTTGTTCTGGAGATGAAATTATCTGTCCAGGACAAGCTCTATTCTCTGATTGTGTGGCATTTGCCCTTGGAAATCACGAACAGCAGGAATCTGCGAGGTTACTTGCACAGAAACAGAGCGAATTGCGCTATAATCACCGCAAGAACAGTGTGAACTCTCATTCAACTATTTCCATACAGAATCGTCCCCAAGTTTTGGTCGGTGGTCGTCCTGAACAATGATATCGACCACATGACAATGCCAGAATCCCGAACATTCAAATCATATCCAGGCCAACTATTGAGGTCATTTAATTTCTGTGGTCAGTAGAGGCTTTTTATAGCTTTGATTAAACATCGAATATGTGTTGAGCAAATTTTGATTTATTGCAATCGTCACTTAGACTTCGAGTCTATAAGATGTTAGTTCAAAGAATTTAAACCAATAGCTAGCCTCTATTCGTTACCTTCGCCTACTTGTGTTACGGTGCCAATGGTTGGTTTCCCAGTGAATTGTGGCTGTGCAGGCGGAGCTCAGGTTTCAGCATCCCAGGATGTCGAAATCCGGAGCTCGATGGCTATAAAGAGGCGTCCGCCCCCATTTCTGACTCTTCTGTCTCCATTTTCTTCCACCAATGACCACCTCATCTTGGAAAACAACTTAGTAAAATGTACGTATGTCGCAGAAAAAATTCCGCAAAATCATCTATATGGCATGGTATTATATAATTGCTCAACTTTTGCTAACCTATGTGTTCCCGCAAACAGCGGCAATATCTTTTAAACCTATCCACCGTATGGATCAAAAGAATGAATGCAACGAAATGAGTGTACGACGCAAGGCGCGACCAGAACGATGCGATGCGGATGTCAAACCAAAATGGGTCCGCTGTCAGTGATAGTGGCTGGCCGCGTTATCAGATCCATGACGGCAAGCGGCCAGAATCAAGGAAGATTTGGAATGAGAATGTACAATACTAGTACATGTTTGTTTACGGGTCAAAATGATTGATAGGTTCTTGCACATCCTCCAACGCGTCTCATCCTCGTAGATGGTTCTCAATATTTGTAAAAACGTAAAGTACAGCGTGACAAAGCTTTATGACCAACCTCTGGGTGCTAGAGCCATGTGTGGGCCTTTTCCATTATAGTCCTGAGAGTGAGAAAGCCGAATCCGGTTCTGAACTTCCAAATGCGGTGGATAAAAAGAATAAATACTTCCTGAGGTTGGATACCTCCACAATATCTATTCCCACCCGCGGCGTCAACAGTTGCACTGTTTAATGACGTGGCTGATATGTCATCGAAAATGGAATGGCTCTAATAAATAAGGGTTGAATTTGCAATCACAAACCCATTAAATAACCGAAGATTTTTAAGTTTTAGCCGCTAGCCATGGCGTTAAATTCAATTTCTATCGACAAAGACAGGTGAATTGGAATCTAATTGAACCCTCTATGCTCTTTACTGACACATTGAGAGATTCCTTGTTTGTCATCACCTTCTGTGCAAGTGGCAAGCGGAGTTAGAATACCTTCTTTATCATTTCTGTAGGATCAATGCGCCGCAGCTTCTGCATGAATGTCTTTGTTCTTGTGCCGAAGCTGCAGAGTTGAGTAGGCTCACTGAAAAAGTTACAAATCATTTTTGTTTCTGTAACAAGCGCATCTTCCGTGAGCGTGGAATTTCAGAACAAGAACGAGAAACATTCTGTACTCAATTACAAGAAGTCCGTCAAGTTCGAAACATGGCTGTCCATCGAGTTACACCACAGAGCAGCACGATCCGAAAATATGGGAAGATTGTTCAGGCAATTGTCGGATTTCTCCCAAGGATTGGAGGTCAGGAGTTTTTACAGACATACAACGAGCGTGTGAGTAAGGTTTTTTAATATCTCATTCATGCAGAGACTAATGAAATGATTGAAGATCCGTCAATTCATTGAGACTTTTTGGGATATCGAGAAGAACGAATCAGGGGATGTCAATGCCTCGCTAATTCCAGAGACCATTATAATCCGGGGTATAGAAAGCTCACCGAGAAACGAACAGAAAGAGTATAATATGAAACGCTCTGTCGAAGAGCAAAAGCTTGCAGCGAAGACCAAAGCCAATAACGTCTCACAAATGGCCCGAGACTTTCAGGAATCGCGGAGAGTGAAGCTCATGCACGTCGAGCAAAATCAGCGAGAGAAAGTCGATTCCGAGTTACGGAAAAAGGAAAAGTCCGAGAGATTGATCAAACAATTGGCTGATGCACAACTCAGAAAAGATGAAAGGGCAGAGAGGAACAGGAAACAGCAGGATGAAGCACAAATCAGAAGGGCTGAAAGAGCCGCTAGGAACAGGCAACAAATGGAAAAAGCACAACTCAAAAAGGCGGGCCAATAATAAACCATCATTGTACGAGGGGGACCCAGGCGGACTGATGGAGATGTGTCTCGGTAGGTAGCCTGAGAGATCCACCAAGGTGTTCCTCTTGAGCATCGACTAGCCCTGACATTTTTACCTGATCTGACTATTCCTGTCGAAATATTCGAGCAATACAAAATTGATACAGACCCTGAGCTAAAAACTACCTGACACACGTAAAAGGATGGCATTTATTGAAGCAGCATTGGTCTTAGCTAGAGATCTAATGGATAAATGGGCTAAACAGAGTAATTGATATGGGTGAAATTGCTCCATTGCGGTTCGCATTGCCCTTCACTGCTCTTTCGCACGGTTCTCGAAACCAGGGTGAGACGGGCTGGTTCACTCCGACGAGACACTAATGATGTAACGTGATTCTTCATGCTGAGAATATATCCCTCCACAGTTTTCAACGTGAAATGACGCCCACGAGCCATTGCTTCCTGCTGGACTTCAGCTGATCCTTTACCCTTCTAGTTACCTAACATCACATTGATTGGCAGAAAATCCTACTTTTGGCTTCTTCCAGCTGTTGTTCGAGGGTCTTATACAGTTCCACAAGGAAACGCCGATAATCTTGGATCAATCGGTATGTATCCATGAGGCTAAAGAAATTCCTCGCCAGAGAGATCCATGTCACATAATATAATCTGAATTATTTGCAAAGATATCCAGCCACACACTTATCTATCAATTGATTGAGTGGTTTTCCTTTTTGTTTGCTTCCCCCGTTCGTTTGTATAACTTTGATACCGGAAGTAGTGGGCAGTCGCTGTGTAACTCAAACAGAATCATGAGAAATATGTGCCGGATCCACCGGGACGGATTAGAAGCCTACCAGGGATTCTGTGACCCTCTCTCGATCTCTATAATGATTTCTGTAAAGAATTGGCCATCGTAATCCATGATTCTGCAACTTTTGGGACTTTTCTATCACACTCAATATAATCGCAAGACTTGAGGGAAGTCATCGGAGAACAAAGAGCATAGTGACAAAATCATGTTTGACTTGTTGCAGATTCGACCGCCCTATTAGACTCAATGCGGCCACTCCGGAAATAATGAGCTGATGATATCTTCCGAATATGTGGGCTACTTTCTCAAAGTCAAAATGCCAAATGTGTTCTCATTGGTCGTGGTGAGTCGACCAAACAAAGAAAATAAGGCTACAAACAAGGTCGATGGAGACTACCATGCCAATGCTATCTGGCTGGTAACGTAGGCCACTGGTTAGTCGATGTTATCGCGACGTGGTTCTAGTACGAATTAATGCCAAAAAAATCGATGTCGAAAATGGTGGTATCAATGTTGGTACGAATTGTTGTGACATTCTCGTCTCTGCCACGGAGTTGCGCAGACTGATTTTTTGAGAGAATTTTCCAAACACGTCTCGTCGCCTAATGCTCGAAAATCGAAGTGGAATGCGAATGATTCCGCTTAAGAACATGCTATGTACGACCAGCGCTGTTCCAAAATTCTTCTTAGGATCCGGCGATCTAATTGTAGTGACAAGCTTCGCATGAATCTCGATCTACGTTTTGCTCCATGACTGAGACAGTAACTCAGTCACGCCCAATCTGATATTTCGATCATGAAGCCGAGATTCGGGGGAATAAATCCAGATTCTAATTCAAAATTGAAGAGTCATGATCGCTGACATGAACACAGTCAACCACGGACGTGTGGTGAGTGGGGAGGTATTAATGTTATACTCCAAATAGCTTTAATAACTCTTTCCTTTACTTATAAAATATTCTACATACTATCAAACTGGAGTTTACGATGCTAAAGAGCGTGCCTCAAGAAATCTGGGACAGTATTTTCAACTTTCGACAACCGATCCCATCTCTTGGTTCGTCCGAATATAGCCAATGTCACATATTATGGAATTCGATCTTCAAGAGCGATAAATAGATCTAGAAAATGATACGGATCAAGGGCAACCCATTGCTCTTCAGTTCAATGCTCGACAAAGTCGGGAAGAAAAAGATCTACATAACAATTCACTATGGAGATAGAATCACGGACCCCAATTATCGCTGGGAATTGTTCTTGGAGTGCCTACACGGTCTATATAAATATAATTCACACACGAAAGAGATCAAATTTCGTTGGGGGATAACACTGAATGTTTGGGAGATCGAAAGACCCGAGAATCCATTTCTGCTGAACGACAAGAGACAACTCTTCTACTCCTTTGGCACTAGCAGGATATTCATCTGTTTCATCAGCCGCGCCTCATCGTTTCTATGACTGATTGGTGTATGGTTCCCAGGGCTGTGTGGAAGGGTTGATGAGGAACTCAGCTAGCCATCTGAATACCCTGACGACTCAATCGATCAAGCTTCATCCACACTTCCCTGTCCAAGCTTCCGTATAGCTAAAACCGGTTTTCTCGGTCTCTACAAGTGAGAACGGTATTATCAAGGGTCTGACGCAGCGGCCTCAAGATTGCTGGTGGGCCAACATACGGCTGAGTATACACTGGCTGTACTTCCGGCGTCGCGCCTGATTTAAACTTGGAATTGCACAGAAGATTTTGACTCCACGAACTGCAGAAAATTCCGGTAGAAAGACCATCTTTCCAGRGCATGATGGGTACACCATCAGCCTCTTCATAATGATCCAGAATTGGCTGAAGGTAAGCATTCCCACGAGCATTGATGATGGTCGAGCGGAGATGAC